AATCATCATATGATGGCAAAACTTTCTTCAATTGACACAGTATTTGATCCCCTTGGACCATAAGCTAAAAACCCTAAAAAAGTTTATTTATTTCACAGTCTTTGATCCCCTTGGACCATAAGCTCAAATCAAGTTGAGGAAAATTTCAATGTGAAAGGGAATTTGCATGATACTTCAAATTTGAATGAGTACAGCCAGTCTTACTTGTAGATTTTACCACCTGTTTCAGTTGCTTCAAAGATTTCTAATGCTTCTACTATTGTTTGCTACAATTTTTTTCAATATCATTTGAATTGATTCATAGTAATGATGTTATTTGATTCCATTGGCTTTTTTAACATTGTTTTGATGATGGTTGATATTACTGGATTTTTTAAACAAAAAGCCTGTTTTTTTAGAAAAGTTGCTTTTTGAGTAGGATTTGACAGTGCTCAGCAAACCCAAGGTTCATCAGTTTTGGGGAGGCTCAGCAAGATTGAATCAAATTCAGATTGGATCAAAAGATTCAATCAAAGCAATCTGAAAGCAATGGCCTGTGTTACATCAGCCCTTCCTGGGTGAATGGCCAGTTCAGTCTCCAGCATTGAAGCCGGCTTTAGAAGCTGCATGAGAAATCAATACAAAGCTGAATTGAGGGTTGACACCAAGATGAGAAAGCCTGACGGTTTGTTTGGCCCTCTGAGGCTATTTTTTTAGTTATATGTAGATTGTTCTATTATATTACATATTGATTATTTAATATTGGATGGTTAATATTTATTATTTTAGCAGTCTTTTGGATACTGTGGGGTATCGCGAAGGCTGACAAATTTCCTCTTTTGCAAGTTTAAATAATTTGATCAAAGTTGTAGGATAGAATTTCCAAGGCTACCTTAAATGTATTTTTAACCCTAATTGAATACACATTAATTTTATTCTATAATATCGTATATTTTATTCCTTTTGTCCTTCGAGGTCTTGACTGAGTACAAAGACCTTGAAGCAGTATTAATTTGGTGATACTTCCAGGGAGCAACCCCATTTGGAATCTGGTGAAATGTTATTCTTAGTTATATGAATATTACATGATTTATTACATATTGAATATTGAATATTTATTGTTTATTATTTAGCGGTTTTTGGATACTATGGAGTCTCTCTAAGGCTGGCATAATGACTCATAGCCATGTATAACTTGTAATGTAGTGTGTGGTAATCACACAAAGAGTAAAAGTAAAAGAATATTGACTATTCAGCTGGGGGGCTTCTGCGGTTGGCCATGTCAACAATTGGACCCCATTCTGCCTTGAGGGCATTTAATTCATCCTTAACACGTCTCCAGCGCTCATTAGCATCATTAATCAAGAATTCCCGTCGTCTGAGAGCTCCTCTGAGCTCCATGATGTTCTGGTATAATGTCTCAATGAGTGCTGTAGCTGTGTAGGAAAATTAATTGAGTGATATGTATGCCAGTGTCAGCAAAGTACATTAACAGAATGAGAGGAAAAAAAGAGACAGCTTACGTCCTTGGAAGCTACACTGTCTGTTAGCCTCAAAGCAGGTTGTACACTTCCCCGTGAAGGGTATAACTTGACAAGAGTCCTCCAACATTTGGTCCCTGCAGAAAGAACAGCCATGCTTTGAGGCAGTTAAAAAGATTAGTGTAACATTCATATGTAGTAATTGTATTATAAATGAATGGTCCTCTTACAACATTGGCCATATTTGTAAAAGGGGGGTTAAATTTGTTTTATTGGTGGATGTGTTTGTTTTCTTTGGTGTGTGTGTGAGGTGGTTTTGAATGCTGATGGGGGGGGAATTGCCAGAGAAGGCACTTCTTAAATAGGAGTGCCTTCCCCTCAGGCAGCCCAAAACTAAGGCCCTGGGGACTGGCATTTTCCAGTCCAATGCCCCAGGGCATGTGTGATGAGGGGCTGGGTAACCCTTGCAGACTGCCCTGGGTGTGGCTCAACCCTAGTGCCACACCCAGGGCCCTGCATATACTGGACAGCCAAAAAACAAAACAAAAGCAAACAAAAACAAAAAACAAAAACCAAAACAAAAACATCAAGTTGTTCCTAGATCCAAACTGACCGAGTTGATAACTGAGAACATTCAATGGATTTTGAAAAGATATGTACATCTATTAGCCCTATAATTTCATTTGTACCGTTGACGAGAATAATTGATTAGCATTTATTGTACGGATCCTCAAAGTGTATCGGCTGTACGGACCTACTGTAAGACATTGATAGATAAAGCACAAGCGCCGAATAGAGTCCACCTTTCAAAAAACATGCACAAACGGTTAACCTTCTGAGCTCTGGGATTTCGGAATTGTTTCTTGGGTGTCCCCAACCCTCAAGCAAGCCCAAAGAGAATCTGGAATCAGAATCGCAGAATCGAAGTTAACAAGCAGTCTCGCGTTGCTTGGGGTTTTTTTCTGCGATAGTTTTCCTTCCATTTGTGTATGCGAGAATAACTGTTTTTTTGACTGACCAAGTAATACATGGTAACTGATCCAACATGTGCACACAAGACAAAGAAAACAAATTAATGGAGACAACACGGCTGGGAATTTGAATGTGGAACCGCAGCACTTAACCTATGAACCAAGCCTTGCAAGAGAGTCACCAACCCCCAAATGTTAATGATGGATGGTACTTGTAGTCCATTGCTGATCCTACCCTACTTTTGGTAGTGAAGAACCAAAAAGAAATCGATTCAGCGTAGATGAAGATGAAAAGGGAATGTAAGAGCGTACCAATAAACTGGAGGGAAGCTCTACCAGCTGACCTGCAAAACCCTAAACCCTAATCACTCAAGAACTCATGTCGGAAGATTGACCCAACTATGTAGGGTCTTGAAGTTTGGGGGACACGGAAAAGATCAGGAGAAAGTTAGATATCAGTGATGATTTTGTCTAGACGTTCTGGTTCCTGACCGGAACCGATCATATGACTTATTTCTCACGTCAAAGTCACAGTCAACACCATCGAGAAATCCTGGTGACTCATATGAAGGTCTTTTTGAAGACCTGGCGTTGCACGCATTTCAAGAGATGAGATGGCCCTGGTCTGATTGAAAATCGCAGATTGCTACCTTGTCAGACAAAGATCTGCATGCTAGGCCGTACGTACAATCCGCACGTTACCTGGATTTTCCGCAGAGAAATCAAATCAATTTCAATATCAATACCTTCTCAGGTCTCTAATCTTTACATGGATGAACATCCAAGGTTAGGTCCGATCCAGATAGCTCAAGAAGTAAAACAAACTTGACATCGGGATGATTCTGGTTTTACAAGAAATCATCACGAACCATCCACACCTGAATTTTTGGGCCACAGACTTGACTTGCAAAAGATCTAATTTTAGTAATGCCGCTTTTCGAGCGATGCCTTGTTGGAATCAGCTAAATTATCAACCGATTTCTTGCGAGCTGATTCTCCTGGCTGCATGGCTATTCCCGCTTTGATTGTGATCACGAAGGTGAAAAAAGGATGGTTTGATTGTCTCGATTGAGAACAATCAGTCCAAACTCCGGGCGAATATTGGTTCTGAGGGATAGGACGCACGAATAGTAAAACATATAAATATGTCAACGATCCCAGGCATCCCGACTGCTCGCGGCTCAACAAGGTTAGGTTCTGGCCCGGTACTCATGAGGGCTCTGTGGAGGGTTGATCCGTTTATCGTTAGTATGTAAGCAATCAAACATCAAACTACGAAGTTTTGGTGCCAATTCTTTAGCCACGCAGTTGAGCAAGGGCAAAGATTCTACTGCATATTAGGGGGGTGGTTAAGGAAAGTGCGGGGCGGGTGGTGATCTTTCTGACGAGAGCTAGCTCGGAACCTGGACTTGCCCAACCACTTTGCCACCGATTCCTCAGCTTCAAGTAAATATGCTTGTATCAGGTGTGTGTCACATTCCACCGCCCCTGATCCGGAAGTATATCGGATAAACAGTGGAGTTCAAGATTTGGACCTCTTGAACAAAATTGCCTCCCAATGTGAAAAAACCTCGTGATGGGCACGAATGATGGGACTGTACATATATATCCTAAGGTATGTAGAGGTTTGCCCGTGATTGATACAGTCATTAAATCCTAATGAGATTTTCGCTCGACTCAATCATCGACTTATTTCGTTTTCTTTCTGGTTTCACCATGACGTACATCTATCTCCGCCTGCTTTGAAGCGGGCCAGGTAGTTAATGATCATGCCCCGCAAGATATTGTAGTGTCCAATCTCGATATTCATCTGGCCTGAAAGATTTATCCAGGGCTTGATAGGAGTAGTTTTCTTGAAAGTACAGCTAAACAATTTATTATTTATGAATATTACGTGATTATTGCGAAAACAATATATCTAGCACTCAAAAAGATATTTCTTTCTTTCTTCTACCAGGACGTATGCTAATCGGGTGGAGATCTTGAGTTGCTGATAATAAGGAATCGGTTGCTGCGGAAAAAGTTCCATGTTGATCGAGTTTGAGGTAGGGGTTGGATTTCGGCCTGTTTGATATGAGAGTGAAAGGAGGGCTCAAAGCGGAGTTGGACGATTCATGGAAAGGTGCATTTGGGTCGAGCTCATTGAAGATAGTCCTCCCATCGTCCGTAAGAGACTCAGCTGATCGGATGGTCTCTACCGGGCGTTCTGCGGTCGAGTTAGAACGACAGGCACGGGCGTGGGTATCTCATATGATCCCATCTTCCCCCATTGAGGTTTGAAACGAGGCGCTGAAGGTTTCTTTTCTGGATCTTGCTGGTTTGGAAGGAGCAAATAGACTCATCAGGGGCGTGTCTCGCTTTGGAAGTCAAAAAAATGGGTAGTGACTGACCAGGCAAGACTCTTCTAAACATTCAGTGTTACCTAATTCGAGTGGAGCAAGTTTGAAGTCGGACTGAGAGGGGATGTGCGGGTTAAGTTTCACTAGCTGGAGATATAGGTAGCTTTGTGAGTGGTTCAAGATCAGACGTGAGGCTATCCAGCCTATGCTACTCGCTAACCTTCACACCCTTAGCGACTACCCATCATCTTGCTCTTCATCCTCCGCATCTGGTACGTCACTGGAATTATTCAAAGAGTTCCGCCGATCACCAACAAAGAATTACACTGATTCTGTCTCTAAGTTATCAGCCAGAACTGAGTGATACGAGGGTCTGCTTCCTACTGGGTGTCAATGATTTTCTTTTCGTCAGCTCTGTTCAGGTATAGATAGTTTTTCGGTCCATAGATGGTTTGGGCAGGGAGGAAAATCCAGGGCTGACTTTGACAAACCTTAACATGTTGGCCTTGGAAGTCAGGAACGTCACTTGTGAAGCGGCCACCGTCGTCTATGGGACAAGGTGGGATCACATCCGCCGGGACAACACCATGACGCTTATAGCCTTCATGATCATCTGCACCGAACGCTGGGGCCTGATGGAGGTTCCCGGCACCGGAGTCCGAAGTGACGTAGGTATCCGTGACTACCTTGAATGCGATATCTTTGTACTGATCAGAGAAGTAATCCATCAGAGGCTTGTACTTCCATCATTCCAGGTCTTTCCCTCGGTAGGTCGCCACTTTTTTGAACTAGACCTTCTTAGGGATTCATCAAGAAGCATGGGAAAAAGAAGAAGAAGAACCTGTTAATCCACCGGACTACGTGCTCTAAGAAGCAGCGAAGTAACCACCGACCTACATTTTCAACTTCGCCCATGGCCCCTTCGTACCCCGTTTGAATTTCTCCAATCTCACGCATCTGAAGAAATTCAGTTCGAGATTTTGTTAGTGGTAAGCCCATCAGAATAGCCGTCTCCAGGAAGGAAGGCCCATACTAACCAGCCCAGTGGTTCGATTGTTTTCTTCCGGTGTTTTCTCTAGACGCTTTTGGGCCGCCCTAATACGCCTATCGCATTCTTCGACGAAGCCCAGGATGTTATTTTCGTATTCTCTTCTCATCAATTGAACTTAGGAGGTGCAACATTTCGTTTGTTAATCAATCTTTTCATTTTGCCTTCTATTGAATAATGAGATTAATATGAAAAGTCAACTGACGTTCGTGAGGAGAAACGATCTTGGTACTTCCCTCCGGATTGTCGCTTTGACTGCGTTTCAAGGCTGCTTCTTACTCGCCTTTCAATTTTTGGGAATGGGTCTTCGCACAGGCGCCCAAGTCCATTTTCTTTTATCCACAAAACCAACGTAGCAAATCGATGTTAGCTCCATATCGATCATGAGTTGAGGTAGGACGAGGGAAAATCAGGGAGAAGGGCTGAACGGTGTTTGTAAATAGGTCGTGAGGACATGCTCCACAAAGGTAGCTTCGGCAGACTTTCGGGTCGGTGAACTTCAAGTCGACTTGGAGCTGTGGTGGACAAATGATCGATGTCGGTTTTTCAGGATGAACTTTGTAGGAGTGTATCATTTTTTTTTTTTTGCTTACTATCCCCATGGCTTCCGCGTCAATGAGATGCTGCAAGTTCTATTTTAGGGACAGGGTTCATTATTCGGTCAGTATATTTATGCTAAGATGGTTTGAAATGCTCTCTTGCCTTACGTTGCAGTTCGGCCAGTCGACCCATCCTGATGATGCTCGTCCTGTATTCAGCAGTGATTGATGGCTTTTTCTCCCTTGGAAATCGTTTGTGGTCTTCCGTTGGATATTGTGCTGTGGCTTCAGGGCGGGTTGTGTGTTGGGTGGTGGTGGCTGAGGCGACTCGATAGCCCCGGTCTTCGGGTTCCTCCGGGATGGACCGGTGAGTCACTTCACACGTCTCCTTCGATATGCTTGTGCTGTTGCAAGATTTGCCCATAGGTTCGCTTGTCAACTCATTCCGAACATATCATCAATCTCGATCGACTAAAAGATGTCCACTTACGCCTCGCGCTGCACAGATGGGGACGATTACGGAGGTGGTGGAGGAGGAGGGTTCATGCAAGGCGAGCTAGCGACGAGCAGCTCAAAATACGCGCATCTCAACGATCGACTTGCATCAATCGACTTACCTCCGTTCCTCCACGTGGATCTATCTCGAATCCGACTGAATTCCTCGGCATAGGCACCCAGAATAGCAATACACCCGGGGGCACCGGCCGTGTCGACCAAGCTCTACAGCCCGTGACGATCAAACAAGTGCTGGATGCCGAAGCCTCAAACTCCGACTCGGCAATTTCGATCCAAGATATCGATGTCACTAATGTTCGCATCCTGCTTCTCCTCATGCTCATTCGCCGAGCATAATTACTCACTTGTATCCCCTCAAAACCTCCAATCGACTACCTTGAACCCAGGTCTCGTTCTGTGGAGTGGTTCGTGATATTGTCAGGAACGCAACCAACGTACTGTTGCAGGTCGGAGATGGAACAGGCGGAATCGAAGCCCGAAAGTGGATCGATTCGAGCGATGGGGAGAGCGAAGGGTTCGAGGCTGAGACGGGAATTCAGTTTCGTGAATCCGATCGATCATCTTCGATCCCGATCAGTCTGATGTGTTTTTTCTTTTTATTTTTTTTAATCAATTATCATTTTTTTTAATCAATTATCAATTGATGAAACTGCATAGAATTCGAGATTGGGTACGAGTGATTGGATCACCAAAACTGTTTAATAACAAGAAGACTGTCGCTGGACTCCGTGTAGAGAAAATTACCGATTTTAACGAAATCAACGATCGTCTTCTCGATGCAGTCCGAGTCACACTGGCTTAAGAACGCGGAGCAACGGTTTGTATTTCCTTGTTATGGCCTTTCCTCTGCTCAGCCAAGTCGATCGATGCTGATTTTTATCCTGACTGCTACTACTCACAGGGCGCCGGTGATAAGATGAAAGTCGATCAGTCAACCAACCACACTACTCATGGAAAGATTATCCAAGCTAAAACCCCAACCGAACTCCTAATCAGAATAAGATCATGGAGTATTTTCCTAGCATTCAACCTCCTGATGAGGGCATTAACATCCACGACATTGCGAGGCAGTGCAATCTGGACGTGAAAGAGGTGATGTGAGTACTTGGAGTAATTTTAGATAGCCGTCTTTGAGTAAACTGATTATTTGTGGTTTGTATTCTTTGTTTTGGGGCATAGTAACGAAACGGCACAGCTGATCTACGAAGGCGAGTTGTTTACAACGACGGACGATGAACAGTACGTGCATTTGTTACATTTCTTGGATGGAAGATTGATTGATGATGGAAAACTATACAACTTACTTATTTTTGTTCTTGAAGTCTCATGACTACAACCTCTTAAACAAAATCACTTGCCTATTGGCCTGTTGTGAGGGATAGCCATTGTGGATGGGGAGGGCATCCTATCCAATCTATATCCTCTTTCCTCCCTCATGTTGGTTTCTCCTGGGCCCATCATCCTACCATAGCCAATAGGATGAGATGTTGGGTCTGAAGATCAACTGTGTGATATGTTTGGGTGCTCCTACTGTATCATTAAATTCCCATTTCTCTAGGTATCAAGCTAGTTTAGCCATGGGTTATGTTTTTTTTTGTCTTGTTCTGTTTGCTGGATGCCTTTCTTGAAGTACATCATTGATACATGCCACAATGATTAATCACAAGAGGCTGATGATCATGAACTTTCTGGTCACTTCACACCTGACTGTGCATGGGCTGATTTGCATTTTGAGCACGTCACAGATCCTTTGGGTGATAACCTGTGGATATAGCCAACACATTCGTCATTGCAGCCTTTGAGATGTGGCAATGAGGATGAGTATTTTTACTGCCTTCTGTGCTTCAGTTCCGTTGAGACTAAGTATTTTCAATTGTTATTGTAGAAGTCTATTGGGAAGGCAATTGGGCTGGGTGTCCAATGGGCTGCCTAAGCCCAATTGGTTTGGGGCCAGGTTTGGCCCAAATCCGTTTGAAAAAAAAAAAAGGAAAAAAAAAAAAAAAAAAAAAAAAAAAAAATACAGTCAGCCCTGCCCAAGCCTTCAGCCAGGCTTGGTGGGCTACCCATTGGACTCCTGATGGGTTTCCCCCTATCAGGGGTGCCCAGCTGGGGGTACTGGGACAGAAACATGAAGCTGGTATAATGAGTCTGGTTTAGATTGAAAAAATTGCTTGGTAATTTCTACATATTGTGCCATTTTTCCTATAAAATTAATATCCTGTTCCAAACCCTTTCATGATTGTCTTTTTGTAAGAAATATTGGTATCATGGGCAATTCTATTCACATACTTTATATTTACTTTTGACCCACTCTTTGATATTTTATATATGATAAGCATCCAAGCATTCTCTTTATTAATGGCTTTGACACATGAAATCAAATTTCCTTTGAAACATTTCTGTAGTCTACTTTCCCTTTTTATTTCACATATACAATAGGCCCCATTTGGGCCCTGTGTGTCTTGGCCATTACTATGGTATCAAGCTGGTTGGATGTGGGAGTGGGTTGCAGGAAGGTCCTGAGTGAGTGGACTGCGGTACTGCAACTTGTTGCTTTTTCAAAAGGACAAGACCAGCTTTGGTTGTGATGTGTCACAGTCAAGGTCTTGCAACTCATGGAAACCAAGACCTCAGCTGTGCACTGCCCAGTACTGCAGCAAAACACCACTAAAAAATGTATGATGTAGTGGTATCACACTAAAACAGTTCAATTTGTGCAGCATTAGCACAAAGCCACTGCACTAAAAATTTTTGCCTACCAGAAATAGTGGTGGTTTGATACTCAGGCATCAGCACAGTGCAAGGCTACTAATGCTGCTGCTAATCATCCTAGGGATTAAGTGCAGGAGCACTGCACCAGACTAAAATGTGTGCTTCTTGTAGCACAGTGAAGTACCTTGCCCTTGATTCAACATATACATCATTCACACCCATAGTTAAAGGTTTATGAATAGCTTCTTGCAGGCTGTGAAAAAACATCTATGCCACACCAGGAAAAAACTGAAATAAATGGTTAGTCCTTACAATTTTGAACTCTAAACACTTGAACCATTTCAAAAGTGTAGAAAAAAAGATCAGGGTATTTGCCTCCCTGGGGGTAGGGCCTGCATGTTGTTATTATGTTTTTTGGGGAAGCATAGAGTTGGTTTATGCTGTACTTAAGTGTACAAATATGCTTCACTATTTGGGGGGGAGTATCAACACCAAAGCTTGATGAAGAGACTAAGCTTGAAGAAAATTGTAAATAGGAACATAACATGGAACCGTTAGTCATTGGACAATAACAGTATTTTGTCATCCAATTCAAACACTTATTGTTTCTTAAAAAAGTCATTCTTTCTTGAACAAAATTGGCACATCAACATTGTGGGTTTGAATTCCTATGAGGATGATTTATTCATTGGATGCAGGTTTTGAATGGCTATGATCTATAGACTAACCATAGAAAGACCACCAGAATCCTTGGCTTGCTAAGCTTGCTGTCTGTCAATTACTTTCCTTAAAAGATGGTATAGACTTAGAATTCCAAACATACTTCCATAACTGAATTAGTTTGAGTTGAATTTGATGGTTCAGGAAATATTTGAAGAGATTAATGAACTGGAATTGATTCTTACAGGGCAATTCAAAGTTGATGCATAAGTGCATCAACATCAATAAAAAAAAGTGGTGCATTGTACTCATCCATCTGTGGTGTTAAAGGTGCAATAGTTTTGACAATTTCATTCAATATACTGCAATTTGGTCATATGGGTCATGTGTACTAGGAAAAGTTCAACTTTCAGGTTTGAATTCTGGCCAAAGGAAAGGCAAAGAAATCTCTATTATCAAAATTATTGTTTCTGTTTGTCCTGATCTTACTTCCATCATTCCTGGGTTTCTGTCATCTTTTTTGAAAACAGTCCACTCACAAGCATACCCAGATCTTCTCTTTGGAAGTTCAGGTAAAAATAAACTTGAAGTGAATTCTTATTGACCTCACCCCTTATCCAATATATCAACCCAAAGGACCTCAAAAATTCATGTAATCATAAACAAAGAGTTAAGGTTTTGCCAAGTTGAATGTATTACAGATTTCAATTGACTGCTAAACATATCTATTGTATCCTCCATAAAATAAATTTGATATGCAGAGATCAGACCATACATACAATGCAGCAATTCAAGAAAATATGTAAAACAATTCTATCGTAATTATTATATATATCCATCTATCATTCTACAATAAGCATTTACAGTAAGTATAAAATAATCAGGAAGAGGAAACAAACACAAGATTAATTTTTAAGTGAGATTTAGTGAGTAAATAGGTGGGGAGTGGCAGAGTCCTACTTGAATAAGAGCTTGGTGGACTGGAGGACAAGATGTGCTTGTTCCTGGGCCAAGGTGAGGTCATTGAACGGAATCCTTCCTGCCTCAAAGTAAGCAAGCAGAAGGCCTTTGATCGGACAGTTGGACTAATGGTTGTCAAATTGAGCACTAGCGCAGCCGTTTTCCACGGTAGGTTGTCTATCGGGGCTGGTACTGGTGGTTTCCTCAAGAAACAAAGCGTTTTGATCCATGAGAACCCGCGGTAACTTTGCATAGAATTCCTTGGTTCGGGTGATGAGTGTCTCCTCGGTAGAGAGCGTCAATTGCTCGACAATCTTCCTAATCGTTTTCCGGGAGTTGTCTTTCAGATAGCTTCTAAGCCTAGCCAGTTGATCGACTGAGAGGCTCTGCTGGACCAGCAGGCTGCCGATTTCCGTCAGATCCACTGGCTCCAACCCGAGCCATTTGAGACAGCTAAGTTTGCCCAACCAGTCGCTCTATCCATTGGTCTACAACCGCCGATTCGGCCCATCAGGCTCGGTCGTTATGAACCGCTTCACCGCTACCTCGACCGTGACGGATCTCGATACCTTAGTTCAAGGGATTGACGTGGTGGAGGAGATGGACCTCGTCGATGATTAGTAATCGGACTCTCTTGTTAGACATACTAAAGATTGAAGCCCGTTTGAGGAAGATCTGCCCATAACAAATTAGAAAAAAGAAGATTAACCAACTGAGACTAGACCCTCTTCACCAGAGGATTTACGCGTGACAACATCCCACTTTTCAGGTGTGGTAACGATGAGGTAGGTTGCATTAATTTCATGTCTGGTTAATTGCATATCACCTAAGATTAGAGGGCGGTATCAGTACCAACAACATAAAAAGGATGAGAAAGTCCCAAGCTTACCGGTCAGTTTCTTAACGACTGTTCCCGTCACTAACCCTTTTTACCATCTTACGTACGGTCTCAACGGCTAAAGCCTTCATTGGAGCCAGGTTGATGATGTTCAAGTTGTTCCTCAAGCCCTTGGTTGGTTTCGGTTGATTCGGACCACCGTACTGGGAAATTGCTCGGGCAATTGACAACATCGCCACAACCATTTTTCCCTAATTTTCAAAACAACAACAACTGCATCAGACAAAATCGAAGTGAAGCAACTTCATATTACATATCATCAAGTATCGAGGTTTGCCTTCGATGCTCCAGATTGGATCTCGTTCGGCCTGTAAAGTGGAGTAGAAGAATCTTCAGTTTAAGTGGTGACGAGAGGGAAGGGAGGGAGGGACGAAGATACGGAAAGATTTAATCAGATTAAGGATCAGTCTAGGGAGTCAACTTACGCTTTGTTTCGAAGGAGTAGAGAGATGATTCGGCTCGGAATTGAGGCTATCTGAAGAGCTGATAATCGATGCACTATCTCATCGATCATCATCCCACAGGAGTTCACGATCCTGTTTGAGCCTTCGAAACTCCTTATGAGTTACCCATCGTTGTTCGACGTTATTCGGAGTGGGATTTGCCAATCAATGATTAGTTACAAGTATCTGGTAGTCGGGAGAATGTGTTTTGTTTGTCTGTCACAGGTGAATAGACATACCTCTTCATGTGATTCGGCTGACTATTGATAGGAGGGATAGGAGAAACCAAACAAATTTAAGACTTAGATATCTCGGTATAACCTTGATAAAATAGACGAACCTCAGATGATTCTAGACGAATCTTGACCAGTTTCTTCTTTCGGCCGTCATCGGTTACAACTCTTGGTCAGATTCTTTTTCCTCGACCTTCTCCCCTTCCTCTTCCTCCACCTCAACTCGAACTTGATCATCTTCAGCTCCTTCTTCCTCGTCGTCCAGTCGCATCAGATCATCAACTTCTGGAGTTCGCTCTGGGCCTGGAAGATCTGAGACTATCTCGGATCGACCCTTCTTGATTCTCATCGCTTGATCTGCATCCGCTTGGCTAACACAGTCAGATAGGATTCACTTCTTACACTGGACATTAGCAGCAGTAGGGCCAGTTTCGGTTGTAGATAACTCGTTGTTAAGCTGCGATGGAATGGTGGGGTTGGATCGATCGTTTTGAGTTCTTGCCTCCTTTTGATTCCTTGAAGTAGATCTCTCTGGTTCTGTTTCTGATTGCTCTGGATCTGATCCATCGGTCGAGATAGGCAGCACACGTTTCTGATTGGACTTATCATTTTGCGATGAGAGGGTCGGGTTGGTTATGATTGGAGGTCAGTCTGATGGGGAGAAGGAGGGAGACAAGCTTACGAGAGGCTCGAAGGATTTGGGTTTTCTGGTCGAGTGGAGTGGCTTGAGTGACGAGGGGGCAGATGAGAGGTGATGGTACTGTTTGGGTTCAGAAGTCCGAGTGGTTGTTTGGTGGGTCTGGGTTGACTGCTCGAGGGCATTATAAGTTGATGATTTTGGGTGACTTGAGAGGCGTGAGTTGTTTTTTTCCAAAGGATTAGCTGGCGAGGGAGATGATTGAAGGATTAGTACGAGCGTTGTTCTGATTTTTTTCTACTTCGGCCTGGTCAATTGGAGGTATCGATCACTAACCTGGTGTGCTTGAGTGTGAGGCGGGATGGTGTGAGTAAGGTTTGCTGGTGATATTGATATTGTACTGATTGTGATTGTGAGATTGAGCGGCCTTGTTATGTAATCTTAGAGCATCTCCAATACAGGAAATAAATCCAACTCGCTAAAATGTAAGATTTAGCGACTTGGATTCGTTATCAACTGGGTTGGAGATACTTGTTTAAGTCGTCGAGTGATGACATCTATGCTAGCATTCAAGTGCAAGGTGAGTACAAGCATATCTCCTATAAGATATGCTTGTATACAGGGAGATACCCGTCGGGCGATGGCAGGCGACCCTACAAGCGTATGCTGTAGGTTTAAATTTGTAGAGGTGGTTTTTGTGTAGCATTTGGGTGTGGTTGAGTACTGATATGTGAGAGTTGAAAGGTTGGTCTGAATATATTGAGTTCTTTGTTGCGGGTTGAGCAACGTTGTTACATAGAATTCAGACTTTTGTGGATTATTTGAGGGATAATATTATGTAGTGAGGGGACATGAGGGGGAAGAATGACGGGGTTAGGAGGGGTTTGTACGAGCTTCTTGAGCGTGTGTGAACGATAATGCACACTGACTAGGGGAGTGAATTTTACTGAATATTTGCATATCCTATTAAAACCGGATATGGGGCACAACTTCACATAAGGCAAGTCACCTTTCAGATATTGATCCTTGGTGATTTACTCTAACGTGTGTGTTGGATTGGCCTTGGTGGGCTGGAGTCACATGTGTTTTATTAGATGTTTGACTAAAATTCCCCAGCCCACCTGCAAAAGACTTTCCATCTGACCCGGCCTATCAATCCTCAACCGTTGGTTCAGCCATACTAGCAGAAATAAAAAATCTTTGAAGGTAATGAGATTCCCTATTCCGATTCATATGTAGGCCCTAACCAACCCCTCACCCCCCCCCCCCCCAATCCTATAAGAATGAAGAGAAAAACAGGTCGAGGGAAGTTGTGGGAGGCGATTGAGATATTGGAGGAGAAGGGTGGAAAGTACTACATTAAATGGGCAGGGATCGATCCGGCAACACAAGAGCCCTGGGAACCAACTTGGGAACCAAAATCTATGGCGAATGCGGCACTAGTAGCAGACTGGCGTAGTAAGAATAGGACACAAGACTTAAGTAAAGTGTAAATACTTAACCTAAACTAATGTAGAAGCAGCCGACTGACTAACCCTTTCTATGTCTAGGGCCAGTCATCATTTTGTAGCCAACCCCCAAAAAAATCCATCCCCTGATGTTAAACCGATGTCGAACCCGCCAGCTCAAGATAGCAGCAACTCGCCCGAGCTTTCTCTGTGTAGGGCCACCAATTATTCTCTAGCCAACCCCGACGACACACCTTCCCGCACAGATTTGGCTCCATCATCTTGTGGTTTTGATCCTCCTGGCCAGAAGAGGCTCAACTGGGCCATCATCCTCTCACCCTCAACAAATCCACAGCCTAACCAGCCTAACCCTGACTCACAGCAGTTGAGATTTTCTAAAATATACCGCGAAGGAATGCTTCTTTGCCATAGGTATGGGAAATCATATAGTATGTCCAATTTCAAAATTGAAATCATTTTCCTCTGTAGCTACATATTCGATTCCTGACACTTAGAATGTGCTTTGGTTAGGTAATGAAAAGACAGATGAATGTATGTTTTTTTTGTTGTCTCTTGTGTGTACTAGCCCCGAAATCCATGGACTAGGCTTTGTGGTGGATCCAACCCTCATAGGTCCCCACATTCCACTCTTTCTACCCAATGAGATGGCTCATGGTTTGGATAATTACACCATTGCCTTCTTGAATTTTCATGGAATATATTTTGAATAGCATTGTAACCTGGATTTCATTGGTCATATTGTGTGCTTCTTCTATGTAGATTCCTGTTATGTATGGCCAACAGGGGGGGGATTGATCCACATCCTTCAACCAGAAGAAGAAATGCCTCCAGAAGATTCTCAAAAGAAATTAGTGATTTTCCAACTTTACTTCATCATCCTTGCTTTGTAGTACCAGTTTTCAATCCTTGATGCTTGAATATCAAACACTGAAAAATTTTCATGCAACTAGTTGCAGTTGGCATGTGGGGTACTTCCACCTTAACTTGGATATTACGGAGAATTATTCCTGTGCATAACGGCTTGACTCAAGTAACTCTTGAGTAACAATTGAGTTACAACACAAGTTTCAATGGATTTCATATTATGTGTATTATATTAGATGCATGTGATGTTTAATATATCAGACAATGTTGTGTCTTGCACAACATTGTTATTCCAATGTGAAGTTGTAAAGAAAAGAAAAGAAAAGAAAAGAAAAGAAAAGAAAAGAAAAGAAAAGAAAAGAAAAGAAAAGAAAAGAAAAGAAAAGAAAAGAAAAGAAAAGAAAAGAAAAGAAAAGAAAAGAAAAGAAAAGAAAAGAAAAGAAAAGAAAAGAAAAGAAAAGAAAAGAAAAGAAAAGAAAAGAAAAGAAAAGAAAAGAAAAGAAAAGAAAAGAGAAGAAAAGAAAAGAAAAAGAAAAGAAAAAGAAAGAAAAGAAAGGAAAGAAAGTCTTCTTCTGTTGCCAGAGTCAGAGTATCCAGCCAAGTTGTCTTCTTCTTTGTCCACATAGTGAAATCTCCAGCAGACTTGGTGGCAGATCCAGATGCCTGCAACGAAGTTTGAGGCCATATTGAATATGTGGATAAAGTGCTTGGCATCTTGGGTGAATTGTGTGGTCAAACAATCCAAGGCAGAGGTTTTTGAAAGTTGGCAATGATTTGAACTGGAGTCTGGAACAAACTGGAACAGAAGTAGGTTTGTGAGAACCCTGAATCCAAACTTCCACTCCAAGTTGGGTCGGGGTTCAGTTCTCTGGGCATGTGAGTTGTGCACACAGCCTCCACAAGAGGAAATCACAAGAGGCAATCTTTGCCTGTCAAAGTAAATTCCTGAAACTGCTTCAATGCCTAGAATTAAACCTGCCTTGGTACTCCCAAACCAAGAATATAAACTGAGTTTTCATTTATTTCTTCAATTGATGGGAGAATTCAGGAGAATGAGCTAATTTCCAAAACTGGAACTACCACTGTTGTTAGCTGTTCTCAGTTACCTTATGGCTGCAAGCTAGGTATTTGATGAGGTGAATTTCAGGCCGGATTGATCTTTCAAAAAGAACCTGTACATATATCTTCTTTAATAACAACAGTGTTCTGATCATGAAACATCAATTTGTGGTTTTGTGTTAGCTGAAGATCAAAAGTTTGCAAAAGGCTCAAAGATCTGAAATTGACCTGGTCTCTTGGGGCGCTGCCCAGGCATCTGATCACATTCCTAGATTGGAGGTTGGTTGGAAGGGATGAGGATGTGGTTGGGTGGGGGATCAAAATATAGCACAAATTAGTTTATCAATTAGAGTAGTTCATATGTATTAACATGTATTGATTCTGTATCAAATGGTTTCTGTAGAAATATGTATATATATTGGCTGGGACCTGAGTTGCAGGAATGAGCAGCTACTTCATTGTTTTCATTGCTTCCGTGAATCATTTGTGACATGGGTTGGCAGTAGAAAGTACAGCGGCAAGATGGAGAGAGGCCAGTCCATCATTCTAATATGCAAGTGTATTGGGATACTTGAGCTGTTGTATAACAGTGGTGGAATACAATCTTCTTATCTATTTTTTTTTCTTGTAATAGAAGAGCTGGATTATGATGCTTAACTGTTTTAGTATCATGCGGCTTGAATTCTGACACTTATTACCTGGTAAAAATTCAAGTCAGACCTTGTTAACAGTTAGCATGTGCTCATTCAAATTCACCAAACCTTAGTTGTGTTTTTTAGCGGGTGGCCATGTATCAATCAATGTAGCGAGTGCGGTCTGCAGTATCCGTATGTCCATTGATGCGGATAGTAGATTGTTTGACATGGTCATATTGTAAACCTCTTTGATGGGCAAACAAGAGCGATGCATTCAAGTAGCTGAGTTTAATTGGTAAGTCTTGACTTATATTGATACTTGTCTCACCAGCTATAGACATGAGATTTGGGCTATAAAACGGTAGAGCAGGGATTGGATGGATGTACTGGATTGTCTCGGCACTTAGAGTCTGAATGGGATTAGCAATAGGTTGTTAACATTCTAAAACCCTTATCGCAGGCTATGCTACTCGCTAACCTTCGGACCGTTAGCGACTACCACATTTCAGATTATGATAATGAGTTGGGAGTATGCACTTGAGGGAGTACATCATCTTGCTCTTCATGCTTGGCGTCTGATATCTCACTGGAATTAATGTTGAGCTCCGACTCGTCGGCATTGAAGGTTCAAGTGCTACAATAGTCCAAATCACGGAAGAGCTTGGGAGGAGTTTCAGTTGCTGCACTTTGAACCTTCTGGGCTGGAATTGTTGCAAATGACTGCAATACCGCTGGTACTTTCAATCAGAAGATGTTAAAACAATAATTGTCATTCCTGAAAATAGGTGATAGAAGAAAGCGCACAGGCCTACCGCTCGTCTTTGCTTGTACGCGAGGATTGAGTTTGGTCCAACAACAATTCTCTTGCGGCGTTGCTTCACGTTCAGATGCCTGAGACTGGAGAGGTACGGTTAGTAACACTACTACGGGCCCCTATGATCCTTCAAATGTGTTTTACATGTACGTACCACCTTAGAGCTTGGAGCCGAAGTCTTCCACCGATCATCAACGGTTCTTGTGGGGCCTGTTGATCGAGCGCCAATCGCGAAAATGAGCTTACATCAGATTCAACCAATGATGAACAGCAGACAAAGAGGAATGACTCACCTTCTTGCCTGTTGATCGCGGAAACAAAAAGTACAGTCCATTAGCATGTGATTCAAAGGAAATCTATATTGATGCCTTGAAATGATGAAATGAAGACCAAGGAGAAAACTCACCTTATCGCCTCTCAATCGCAGAAACCAGAAGTCAAGCGATTAAACTGACATTCGGATACCGGTCGATATAGACCCCTTCAGATGATGGACAGGAATAAAAGAGGATTGACTGACCTTCGCGCCGGTGGATCTAGGGAACTAGAAGTGAGCCGATTAGACTGTGATTCATTGTCTATCGCGGAAACCGGAAGGCGGTTGATTACAATGACATTCCAACGGGGGTCGACATCGACCCCTTCAAGTGATGAACTGAATTAAAGGAGGAAACACTCACCTTATGGCATGTCGATCCCGGAAACAAAAGAAAGGCTGATTAGACTATGATTCAAAGGGGGGTCGATGCCAACCCCTTCAAGTGATAGACACGAATAAACGTAGAATGCTTCACTTGGAAAAACCGCCTGCTGATAGCGGAAACCGAAAGACAGTCAATTAGACTGTGAAGCAAAGAGGGATCGATATCGACCCCTTCAAATAAACATGTCACGATGAAGAGCCGCCTGTCGATCGAGGAAACCAGAAGACAGTGGGTTAGACTGCAGTCGAAAGGGGGGTCAATATCAACCCCCTCAAGTAGCAAACAGTAAGAAAAGAAAAAAAAAACTCACCTTGTATAGGGTTAGGTTTGATCGCAGAACCAATCGCGAAAACAAAAATACAACCAGTTAAAGTAGGTCAAAAAAGGGGTCAGGTTAACCCCATTCTATATATGGTGAGAAGGAGAGATGATACGTACCCGGGTTTGGAGAAGATTGAATCGCGAAAACAAAAGTAAAGCAGAATGGAATGGGACACACAAAGGGGTCAGTTTGACCCTGTCTTATGGTGAAGTAATGATGAAATGTAAAAAAGAAGGGTACGTACCGGCGTCCATCCAAGCGCTGATGGCAAAAACAAAAGTACACCCACCCAATTAATAATGACGAAAAACGGGTCAGTTTGGCACCTTCCATTACTGGTGGGAAGGAGAAAGAAGAAAGGCATACCTGGGTTTGGACAAGATTCGATTGCGAAAGAAATGTATAGCAGATTAGGATAGGACAAACAGATTGTTCGAGCTTGGATGAGTGGATCTCGAAACGATTGGGCCTAGATGAGTTCGTTTGATATAGGAACAAGAAGGGGGTCAATGTGACGCCTTATTATAAAGAACGGTCTCAGATGAATGGAGCAGGAGAGAACCAAACGTACCCTTAGTTCTATCGGCTGTTGATCGCCAATTCGAATATACTGTCTAGCAGCTAGAGCTGTGTTTGTTGATTGTTTTACGTCATTGTGGCGGAAACGCGATTCCACGATGGTTCTGGATCGTCCGGGCGGTTTGTTTTGTGATTGTGTGTGTGGGTGGATGGGATGTGTGGAGGTGGGGTAGGGTGTGGTTGAGTGTTGTAGCGCCTCCTTGATCGTTTTGGGTTGAGACTTGATTCGAGTGAGCCGAGTTCAGCCCAAAATCGAAACCTTGTACAATTTCATGGGCTCGGCGGGCCTGGGGTTCCCTAACCCCCATGAATCCTTGGGTTGTGGGGCCATGGAATCATGGCCCTGTGGCCCTGACCTCATGGGCCCTGTGGGCTATGGCTCAGAGAAAAGATAATGGAAGCAAGGGTAAGGTAAGCTATTAAAAGGGGTCAATACACACTAAAAGAAAAGCAAAAAGAGGGAAGAGGAGACAAGACAACAAAATTGCAGAATAGATAAGATAAGATAATAACAGAAGACAATACACAATGAAAGAAATGAAATGAAAAGAAATGAAGTGAACTGAAATGAGATGAAATGAAATGAAAATTGTAACACAGGACAGCAAAGGTGGATGATTGCCAGTAATGGGATACAAGATAAGAATGGAGGATAACAAGGATATTTCTTTGAGAGATTGTAAGATAAGGATAGAACAGTAAAATAGAAATGAAGAGTATGAAATGATAAATAGTTAGTGAAAATACATGGAGGTCAAGTAGAAGGAAATTTTATGAATGGGGATTGATACAAGGAAAGTCAAAAATACCGATCGAGTTTAATGTTGAAATTGTGAACTCAGCCTGCAAGGTTTTGAGGGCCAAAAAGGAAAGTTTCCTTTTTTGGGAGAGGCTCGAGGGAAATTAGTGTGAGAACCAATGATTTTTTTGTTCACAAGTATCTAGCCAGGTTTTAATAGGCTAAGTGCAAGACTCAAGTGCACAAAATGTGGTGGAAATGAAAATTAATAAAGAGTGGTTTTGAATAAAAACTGAGAGCAAAAATATATGAGTTCATGGAAGAAATAACCGGAGAAGTCTTCTGAGTCTCTTTTAGACAAGCTAGTAAAATTAATCATGAGAAAACATACATACACTCCACCACAAATGAATAAGAGTTGTTAATTCTAGACAATCAGATTTTAATGAATCAAATAATGAAATGGAAAAAGAAAGAGGTAAATCACAAAGACACGAGTTGTCGATAAAATAGCTTTTGTTGGTTCTAATTAGACTCCAAAGGTGCATAAGATTCAACATAAAACAAGCAGGGAATAACTACAGTTCAATATAAGTCGAGATAATTCAAGAAAGAAAAAAGAGGGAAGAAGAAGGGGAAGAGGGAGTGAATTTAGGGAAGGGTAGGCCAGAGAACAGTGAAAACTCAACAATTAAAGTCAAACATTAAAAGATAATAATAATAAGGCAGGGCATGATTGAGGACAGGGAGGTGGTATAGGATGGGATTGAACCTAGAAAAGAAACCAGATTAGAAGAGAGAAGATCACATTCAATACTGAATACTAAGATGGACCAAAGGTTGGAGGTGAAGGGACTGACACAGTTATAAAAATGGAACAAAGTAGGTGATTTCAAATTAAGCAAATAGACAATATCAAATGGTATTAATAAATGAAAAGATAGGAGGAATTAATTCAAATTGAATGAATGAAGCAAGAGGAAGGAAGGAAAAAAAATTGTTTCCAAAGAAGATAGTGGTATGAAATGCAATTAATACAAGGACTGAAGAGATTATAAATCCTAGGAATTCAACTTAAATAATAATGAAAGGCACAACAGGAGAGCTTGGAGTGGATAGGAGTGATGTTATATGGTATTTAAGCCAGGAAGGAAAAGATAAGGGAAGGGGGGGGGGTTCAAATTGAATGGTAGTACTAGGAATGAAGGTTGATGATAGAGTAGGAGGTTTGGAACACTCCATTACCCGTCAAATTTAGGAATTAGGGTTATATAGATGATCATCAAGCTTGTCATCCACGTATCTAAACACAAACAGGTCCATGGCATTATGAGCATTGGTTGACAATTCAAGCATCCTGCTAAAAAAACCAATTTAGGAATTTTCTCCATCTTCTACTCTCCACAAGGTTTTCCATAGTTTTTTGTTGTATCCTATATTTTGTCTGCTTTATTTTCCTGGGTTGAATTCTGACTGAAAGATTTGAAAAACCCCAGTTGTGTCCTCCTGTGTCTTGGTTTTTGTTTCATTCTTTTTTTTTATCCTTAGCATCAATTAGAAAAAAAAATCATTAATGTTTTCTTTTCTCTAATTTCCAATTATTATTTTTTTTGACTGTTATTAGTTGAATCAAGTTCACATTTTACTTCTCATTTTTACCCACTGGTCATACTTTACTAGTTCTTTCTCAAAATGTATGTTTTTGAGATTATCTGGTACCAAAACATAACCCTAACCCTAAACAGCTCTTGGACATCTTTCTAATGATTTCTGAATTTATAAACATACTGGGTGTTAGGCAGCAAAGTGACTTCCCTGACACGGATCCCAGCTCAACTGTTGAGATCTGTTCAGAATGTTCACTTTTAGTGGGGCAGAAGTGATCAAACTCATTTAGGAGAACTGATAGTGATAATTGGCTGTAGTAGACTAACATAAATAGACTGACTGCAAGATCAGGTCAACAAGTGGTTGCAAGAAAAATCAACAAAAAATTGTGAATGAAAAAGAAAATAATAATCGAGAATAATCAAAAAAGAATATGACAACAAACACCAGAAATGAACCCTCTACAACCAAGCAGACAAGCAGACATTGAGTCATGTTGGAGTAACAACCCAACTTTGAAGAGGGTTTCAGCATGTTGACTGGCAGCAGTTCATGAGTCCTAGCGAACCGGAAGATTGTGAAGAAGATCGTTGTCAGCAAATACAAAGATTGTGTCGGAAATGGTGAGTCTGGAAATACAAAGCTCAAGCTGGAAGGTGATCGAGTTAAGAAGGTTGGAGCTACGGGAGGGTCATGAACGGACGTTAGGCACCTTCTGTTGAAAGCAAGATAAGTCTTGGAGAGCTGAAAAGAATTAAGTCTTACCGACCCCTACCTCCTTTGAAATCTCGGAAAAGAAGCGACAAACGGCAAGGCCTGTCGAACATGTTGGCATGAGGGAACATGCAGAAAATGAATGGAGTGAGTTGGATTAACCTTGTGTTGGTTTGGGATGAGCTAAGTACATGCAAGGAGAAATATGTGGTCAGTCCAAATATCGATATACTAACATTAGTTCCCTCGAATCAATCTGACTCACACCCATGTAATCAAGTTGTATTCAACTTGTTATTGCCTTTTTTTCCCTTGAAGGTGGTAGTGCCGAAGAACCTGTAAGTGCTCTAGCTCATCCAACTCAGAATCTCGGACTTTGATCTGACCGAACTCTACACTCCGACTGGGCATGGCTAGCACCTGGATCGGCATAGGAAAAAAGAATTATCAGCTGGTATCAAACGGAGAAACACCTTTGAAGGGTTAGATGTAAGACAGGAAGCGCTTACATCGGCATTGGTCATTTTGGGCAGGAACAACTGGTGAAAGATGTTGATAGTCGAATGCTTGATGCAATACTTGAATGTGATCCTGCCGAGCTCGGTAGGATGAAGAGATCCTGTCTCTTGGTCGAAACCGATCATTCCGATCTGGCGGAGTTTCTTGGCAGCGATATCGATTAGCGTATGTCTCTTGCCACCTTGTAATGGATCATCCTGGACATCTGAAATTGTTAGCTCATAGACCATTGGATGTTCAGAACACTCTTAACAGTGACTAGTTCTTCTTTTCGTTTGTGGGAACACTCACTTTCTCAAATGTGGCCTTGTCGAGATTAGTGGTTGAGGTTGCCGAGTTAGGTTTACCGCGAACGACAACGAAATATTGCTCTGGAGGAACAGGCCGAAAGCTGATATCGAAGAAAAACAAGCCTTGCATTCTGTTTATCCTGAGGAAATCTGATACGTCAACGTAATTGGGTAAGGTGGCCGATCGCCCCACAATTGGACTCAACGATTGAGATGATTGAACCTGAGACAACACAAGTTAGGAAGGGTGAGCCATCTGATCCTAGGCGCCATCGTTGGAGTGAAATTTCATTTACCTGTCGCAAGGTTCGGGCAACGATAGTCTCAATAACAGCCCCTCGGTCTTCGTGGAGGAGATGGACCTCGTCGATGATTATTAATCCGACTCTCTTATTAAATATAAGAAAGATTGAAGCACATTTCAGGAAGATCCGCCCATACCAAATTCGAAAAAAAGAAGATTAACTAACTGCGACTTGACCCTCTTCACCCGAGGATTTACGCGTGACGGCATCCCACTTTTCAGGTGTGGTAACGATGTGGTGGGTTGCATTGATTTCATCTCTGGTCAATTGCATATCATCTAAGATTCGAGAGCGGTATCAGTACCAACAACATAAAAAGGTTGTGAACGTCCCAAACTTACTGGTCATTTCCTTAACGGCTGTTCCCAACCAGCCAGCCCAACCTTTTGCCCGTTTTACGTACGATTTCAGCGGCTAAAGCTTTCTCCGGAGCCACGTAGATAATGTTGAAGTCGTTCCTACAAAATCAAAGTGGAGCAACTTTAAATTACATATCATCAAGGAAAATCTCTTTTTTATTTATTTAAAAAGCTGACTGCACCAGTAGGAGCACCAATCAGCATGTTCTCATGGGTTTTGTACGCGATCCGGAAAACGGCGCTCTGTATTCGATTGAGAGTTTTGTGACCCTTTCTGCCATTAAATGATGAAAGGAGAAGGTCGCAGAGGATGTGTAAGATTTTGGACTTTCTTTGCGAGAAGGGATTGGGGGATTACCAACAGAGAATGATTTGCGCGAGATGGGATCCAGTTCATCTATCTCGATTAGATGTTCGTTCGAGCGCATTGGAATCTTATCAGAGGGAGGGATCATGATCTCCTCAAAAACCTGGAGCAGAATTGTCCGTCTACCATCTGTTGAAGTGTTGGATTGTGCGAGATCCATTCTGACCTCTTGTGTGGATCGGGTGGTCCTGATGGCTAGTGTGAACTTTTTTCCGGTAAGGCTTGTAAAGGCTTGTTGAGAGCCGTTTGAGAGAGATGAGTCGAATATGTGAGGGAGATGGGTTGATCGGCGACGAACTGGTAAGTGTGGAGAGAGAGAGAGAGAAAGAGGACGACTCAGTTCAACGGTTCAACTGGGATAGATATGAGGATCATGATAACGGAGTTTACTGACCCCATCTCGACCGAACAGAGGCCGGTTTGCCGCATGAACCAATTTCTGATTTTTGAGTGAGTCAAGATAGGCAAGATCGAACGCGTCCTGCTCGGTATCGGTTCGATTTCTTCAAGCTGGGTTAAGGGGGAGCGGTTGTTGGAAGTAGTGTTGCGCTTGTGAAGTGTTGCGATGATTTGAGGGACGAGTTCGATTGATTGCCTGAAAGCCTAGTGGGTCCAAGAGTTGATCCGATAGACCTTCCAAGCAGCTCGAATCCAATGGGTTGGCAGAGTTTTGATCGAGGTGTTGCTCAATCGAGTTGATGATGGATTGCATAAGATGTTTGGGATCTAGTTCGTTGGAGCCTTGTGGATGCCGCGTGATCAACGGTTGACTGTGGAGGAAGAGGAAGAGAGAAAAGGGAGTTAGTTGGTTATTGTGATTATGATTATTACTGCTTTTCTTGTTGCTTTGATGTTTGACTAACCGAATTCAATGGTGAATGAGCGGGTGATTGGAATCTGAGAGGATGAGATCGTCTGGGGTGGACAGGAGGGGGTCGACATCGATGCTGTGGGGTATTCTTGTGCTGTTGTTGTGGTTGTTGTGAGTTCCTAGTTGATCCGAGTTGAGTTTGGATTGATAAGGATAGTCGATCGAGTTGTTCCTGATAGTCTTCCAACCCTAAACCCTTCTCTTTGTTTGGATTACTTCGAATGGAACCGATGCTGATGGTTCGAGGGTTCGAGGTTGATGGTGTAGTAATGTACATAATTTGAACAGACCAGCGAGTTAGAGGTTTGCCTTCGATACTCCAGATTGGACCTCGTTCGGCCTGTAAAGTGGAGTAGAAGATTCATCAGTATTGGTGGCGACAAGAGGGAAGGGAGGGAGGGGGTTAGGAAGATACAGAAAGATCTCATCAGATTAAGAATCAGTCTAGGGAGTCAACTGACGCGTTGTTGCGAAGGAGTAAATAGATGAAACAAAACAGATTTAAGACTTAGCAATCTCGGTATAACCTTGATACAACAGACGAGCCTCAAGTCTGTGTTTCATGTAAGGTGCCAGATTGATAGATGTACATATCCTTACAAAATCCATTGGATTTTCTCAGGTATCACCTCGGTCACTTTTGATCTACGAACATCTTGATGTTTTTTTTTTTTTTTCTTTCTTGGCTGACCAGCAACCCATGGCCCTGGGTGTGGCACTAGGGCTAGGCCACACCCAAGGCCCACTTGCCCTGGGGACTGGAAAATGCCAGTCCCCAGGGCCTTTTTTGTGTCTGCCTCAGGGGAAGGCACTTCTATTTAAGAAGTGCCTTTCCTGGCCATTTCCCTCCCCCACCCCCATCAGCAATCAAAACCACTTCACACACACCAAAGAAAACAAACACATCCACCAATAAAACAATTTTAACCCCCCTTTAACAAAAATGGTCAACATTGTAAGTGGACCCTTTATTTATAATCAACTTAAATATTACACTAATCTTTTTAACTGCCTTGAAGTACGGCTGTGAAACCTGCAGGGAACACCACTTAGAGGAATCATGCAAGGTTGTTCCCTTCACGGGGCAGTGTCAAACATGCACTGATGCCCAGAGAAAATGTAAATTCCAAGGACGTAAGCTGTCATTTTTTTGCCCTCTCATCCTGTTAATGTACTTTGCTTACACTGACAGACATACATATCACTCATTTAATTTTCCTACACAGCTACAGTACTTATTGAGACACTTTACCAGAACATTAGACAGCTCACTCATATTGTCAATCACCAAGTATTCTTGTTGAATGAGGCCAATGACCGCCGCAGAAAAGCTGTGGATGAATTACATGCCCTCCAGGCAGAATGGGGTCCAATTGTAGACATGGCTAACCACAGAAGCCCCCCCACTGAGTAGTCAATATTCTTTTACTTTTACTAAATACACACTACATTACAAGTTACACACATCTATAAGTAATTATGTCAGCCTCAGAGATACTCCATAGTATCCAAAAGACAGCTAAATAATAAATAATAAATATTCAATATTCAATATGTAATAAACCAAGTAATATTCAAATAAATAAGAATGTTATTTCATAAGATTCTAATTGGGGTTGCCCACTTGAAGTATCCCCAAAGTCCTATTCCTTCAAGGACTAGACCTCAGTTTAAATATGCTATGTACAGTGGGTAGTCTCATGAGGCTTCTAATGCTGGCGTCAATGTTGGAGAGTGAATGAGGACACAGGCCATCACTTTCAAATCACTTTGATCAATTGCTGGGATCCAATCTGAAATCATTAGTCCAGTGAGTGTTATCTCACTGGATGCTATGTACAGTGGGTAGTCTCATGAGGCTTCTAATGCTGGCGTCAATGTTGGAGAGTGAATGAGGACACAGGCCATCACTTTCAAATCACTTTGATCAATTGCTGGGATCCAATCTGAAATCATTAGTCCAGTGAGTGTTATCTCACTGGAACAGCACACATTTTGTGGGAAATGAAGGAAGAACCAATGATGATCATTTCTTGTGACTTAGTCAGTTTAAATATGCTGTGTGCAGTGGGTAGTCTCATGAGGCTTCTAATGAGACTATGAAATTGTTGGAGAGTGAATGAGGACACAGGCCATCACTTTCAGATCACTTAGATCAATTGCTGGTATCCAATCTGAAATCATTCCAACCTTGCTGAGCCTCCCCAAAATTGATGAACCTCTGGTTTGCCAAGCTATCAAGCAACCTCTTGGCCTACAACCAATCACCACTCAGCCTCCCTGATTCAGATTACCGTCAAATCCTACTCAAAAAGCAACTTTTTTTCTAAAAATCATTCTTTTTGTTTAAAAAAGCCAACAAGATCAATTAACATCAAAACATCCTGAGAAAAGCTAATAACATCAACATCATGAATCAGTTCAATAGCAAATAATAGTAAAATCATCAGAAAACTTCGAAGAAACTGAAAGAGGTGGTAAAATCGACAATTAAGACCGGCTGAAATCATCCAAACTTGACGTATCACACAATGTAAAATCTGCATATTCCCTTCTACAGCTGGTTGGTTGTTTGTTTTCTAGTCATGGTTTGTTCTCAATTTTATCTTTGGGATTGTATTTTTTATTTTTCAGCTTGTTTATATAATTGTGTATTGATTTTCTTTTTGTCTCTATCCCTTTTGTTGTCTTTCAAGTTTTGTTATTATCCTTCTTTCATCTTATGACAATTTGAGATTCTTACAAAGGGTACATCTCACTGGATATGGCTAAAAGAGAATTGAAGGAAGCATGAGGAGAGCCAATATTGAATGATTGTTTGCATACTGATTGCTTGCTTATACCATCACTAGCTGTTAGATTATAACATTCATGGGTTAGGCTTTAATAACCACCCAAGTTTTGTTCTGCAAATAAACCTGTTTGAATCATAAAAATTAAATACTTGGGGCAAAATATTCTCAATTTATGATGAATGTCAAATTTTGTCTCTTTTGTTTTTTGGTATGTTGTGATTTAAAATAAGAGTTTTTACTTAGAACTTTTTCAAATCTGTTTTAGCTACATGATGATTTTTCAATTATTGAAATTAAAAAAAAAAAATCTATCATGAATTTCTGAACATTGAAACATGGTCCTTTAACGTAGTGTTGATTCAAATTTGAGTGAAACCAAGTGTTATCTTGAAGCTGATTGGTGAATTGATGATAAATAAGATTGAGGTAAAGAGTTACTTTACAGTGGAATAATCACAATTTTCAACAAGTTGTGATTGTGACAATGGGAAACTTCTGTAGTTTTTTTTTGGTTAACAATCTGAAACTGGATTATATTCCAACAAAAAAATTCTGCCAACACTTGAGCCATGGAAGTAATGCACAGCCCTTGAACATGATTGATGTGTGTATTGTTTTACCCATTTTATTCTGTTTGAGTTGATTGAGAAACTGCCAATGTGATACTTTGTTGGGGATTTTTAACTCTCATCCATTCCGTTATTGGTGCAACTAGTTGGTGCTAAAGCTTCCTTGTTGCATGTGTTTTATATCTCTTTTTAAAGAATACTGTTTTATCTTGTTATGTCCCTCTGTCTCTCTTGGTAATATTTCCAAGCCCCCCTAGTGCTACAAAGCTGAGATTTTCTTTGAATTTAAAAGGGAGAAGAAAAATAAGCAGGTGATCAATTTATTTATTTAGTACAATGCACCATCATCACCAGTCTTTGTATGGAATAATTAACACTGGTTGTGAAGAGAAAACCTATTTGGTTCAAGGAAAATTTCTTTCACTCCACGTCATCCCCCCATGAGGTTGAGTTGACCAAGTATAAACTCTTGTTCCATCCTCTTGTTCTATATTCCAAGCTTGTAAGTTGTACAACTTTAGCTCAGCATTCTTGAGTTTTAAAGTTAACCCCTATCATGTACCTCAACCTCTATCAGTACAGGTAGAGTATATGTGGGTTGCTGATGGTACACACTAATGGCTAGGATATCACTTCTACATCTACAATCTCCCTAAAATCACCGTCTCATAGACTGACACCCTTGTATTCATGAGTGTGTGTCAGAAGGGGCTCAAGTAATGAGCCCAACACCTCAGCCTCATACTTTTGTGGTTATTTCCAGATCCCACTCAGCTCCCAACAAAAATTCCCATCTTCATTACTACTATTTACTGTGTTACACCAGTGACAATCCTCATGGTCAATAGTTCATTGTAACAAATGCAGACACTGGGATTACCACCAAACAACACTGTGGTCAAAGCATTCTTCAATTTGTGCTTACACACCACCTTGCCATGTTTGAAGGACTGTTTGATCCGTCTGGAATATTATTCCGTTGTAAACTACCCTTAACACCATCATTGACTACAAGATCAACACCAACAGCAACAGTGTAAATTTTTGCCTAAACTATCCCTGTTTGACTCCATTATCAAATTGATTTGTTGATCTACCATCTCTACTTGAATCATATCTTCCAAGGAAGGGTGGCCCATTTTGAACTTCTCACCTCATTTATGTAGACCAAAATCCATCATATTTTTGGCAGTGGCCTATGACCATATTACACTAAAATTCAATCTTCGTGCTTTTACCGGAATCGGGCTCACCTAGCCCTTCTGGCCAATCTAAGAATGGAACTTTTTTCACTACCCCTTAGATCTCTTCTTCCCCGCTTAGCTCACCTTCATTTCTTGCTCCTGCTACCTACTAGTAACTACTGTATGATGATCCAGTAGCAATGGATTTATGATCTAATCATGTCCTTTGCTTTCGGAATTGTGTTTGCTATTTGGCATGATGATCAAAGAGGTACTATTAGAAGATGAACAGGTAGAACTCAAGGTGGAACAGCAATTTATATCAATAGAGTAAATCCTGATTTGGTTCATTAATTGAGCTTGTGGTCAACTCAAACCTGTCCATAACCCTAATTTATCCAATTTAGTAACTCACTTGACTTATGATCCAATCAGCATATAATTTTGGCCCCTGGGACTTTATCTATTGTCTAACATGGGCAGTCTGACACTCAAACATTTCCTTAGAAAATCCAACAATAAAGAAGCTCAGTGCACCCTATTATTTCCTTGAGGCTTGGATTAATTGATTCAGAAACAAATCATCTTGGAATACCAGCCCATCAAGAGCTGTCTAGTACCCATCGTATTTGTGCATGGACTGGAAATAGGCTTCTTCCAATATTCAGAATTCACTATGGGCCCTCAGCAAACCTATATTTACATTTATTCAACCATAGATCTCATCTTATGTTGCAAATTGATGTTTTTGAAGCAAGGAAAATCTTGGTACCAATTTGATCCAATTGGATTGTGGGGTATGCAGGTAAATGTGTAGTAAGTGATAATGAAATTGAATAATAAAAATAATAGCCATTCAGTATGACTATTTATCTTGGGAATATTGTACTCATCTTGTATCACATCATGTAAGGCAGAATACCTTTTTGGAATGAGAGGTGAGGATGAAGCTTTATACTTTTGCACTCAGCATTAACAATAACATTGAGATTTGTTGGGATGCTCAAGTTGGTTGAATTTAAATTTTAAGTTCATGCATATATTTGTAAAGCTGTAAATTTCATGGATTAGATCTGAGTTAAATTTTGTAGAAAAGTTGGATTTACGTTTAATAAACTACTTCAAAAGAGCCAAAATTTTACATCTGGAATTACAGTAGGTCTGCCGCTTGAATATCTGGTCAGTATGATACTTAAAATTATAGTTTCCAATCAAATACACATTATTGTTCTGCTGTTTTTTATTGTTAGACAGATGGTTTTAAAATTTGAGGATATTTTGGAGTTCTAACTGAGATAGAATCATAGATATTATATTTGGATTTCATGGTCACAACACAGATGTCTTTTCATATATTCACGGGCCTCAGAGGGCCAAACAAAGTGTCATGTTTTCTACCATCAACACTGGCCTTCAATTCAGCTTTCTATTGCATTCTGATGCGTCTTCTAACACCAACAACAATGTCAGAAACAGTACATATCATGACCACTTCCTTCAGAAGACAAGTGTGAGAGCTGCCTAAGAGTGCAGGGCTGAAGTGACTTTACATAATCTATTTGGTCCCGAGTTGCAGGTAGGGCCATAGATTTCATGTTGCTTTGTTTCAAATCCCAACCTTGCTGAGCAGTGCTGACCATCAACCAACTTATTCCAAATGCAACAGAAATATCCTCAGCCTCACTGGGATTTTCAAGAATCCCCTTGGTCTTGAACTACAGTCAAAATCTTCTAAGGGTATAACCCTTGGTCACAAGATCTTACCATGTCTTTAGGGGGATTATTGCCTTATAAAAAGTATAATTGTGTTTAAATAACAGGTTGATTTCTGATTTCTCCTGGTCTGTTAGGCGGATTGTTTCATTATGAGTGTATGCTATGCCCTTAGTCAGGCCTTAAAAAGTTTTCATTGTAATCACCACTCATTCTCCCTGATGAAGATTACTGTTAAAACACTCTATTCATTGAAATTGGAAGTATGATGCAATGTAAATTCTGCATTGCTCATTTCCTTTCACATAAAAAGTTTAAAGTATCAAGGTATCAACAAATTTAAATCAAAAAAAAAAAAATCTGAATAATAATGAAAAGTATCTGAAAAGTACACCTCGGTGAACCTGATCCTCAAAAAACTTGCTCTGATTTCAGAATGAACCTTGGCTTTGCTGAGCTTTCAATTATTGTCTTGGTATACAATGTCTTGGTATACAACCAATGACGATGCAACCTCACTGAATCAGATTACTATGAAAACCTACTGAAAAACCCACTTTTTGAAAATTCTTTGTTTACAAAAGGCAGTAAAATCAAATAACATCAATAATATCAACCTTCTAATTGTACAAAACCCCAAAAGAGTACATCAACACTGCTAGCATCAAAAATTAAAAAAATCTAAACATAAATGTACGATTGACATGATACTTCATTTCAGCTTTCTATTAAATTATCATGTGGCTTCTAATGCCAGAGTTAATGTTGAAGACTTAACTGGCAATTCATCCAGCAAGTGAAAGGATGAAGTGACACAATCAAGTTCACAGTTTCAGGTTGGCCCATTGCTTCCAGATGGCTTTTATTGAATCTGAAAATGACTCTGACCTCACTGATCATCTTGGTCTACCATTTGCATACCAAAAATCACAATCAGCCTCCCAGATTCAGTTTACTGTCAAAACCTACTTGAAAACATCAGATAAAAAACACATTCTTTGTTCAAAGAAAGCCAAAGACATCAAATAACATTATGAAACATATGATAATATAAATCACAAAAATCAAACAAGAACATCAACAAAACAAAAAAATTTGAATACTTTGATTGTATAAAATTATTATTCAAAAGGATCAAATGTTAATGTATTGGACAAAAAATGTATCAAACAATAATAGGAGCACTATAGAGCCTTAAAGAAACTGTTTTCATTAAATATACAAGTAAGACTGCCTGAAATCATTCAAATTGTAATTATGATGCAATGTAAAACCTGCATGTTTCCTTTCACATTGGCATTTTCCTCAACTTGTTTGTAGCTTATAGGTCAGGGTGAGTGAAAATGTCAAATAGCAAAATTGGTTGTTTGCTTCCATTCTGAAAATGGAAAAGGCTCACTATCAAATTGTGATTTAATGGTAATGAAATTTGAACAAATTTGGAATTTGTTTAACAGAGGTTCTGATCTACTTGAGACTTAGATAACCAAACACAGTGCCTGATTTTCAAACTGTGGTATCAATCCTTTGTAATGAAGCTTTTGATTTTGGTTTCATTATTAAGGATCAAATTTCAACAACTCATTTGAAAGTGTTGGGTTATGATCATGGGTATGGTTTCAATCGAATATGGGTGCAGAAATCATAAACCATCCTTGCATTTGGCCCAATTGTCAACCTAAGTAGTGATGTGCTACCCTTCATAGGACAGCAATATCATTACCATAAGTGCCCAACAAAGGCACAAATGGATACACAGACACAGATCCTCCAATGAGGCAGAAAGATAACTATTTGTGTTCAATACTCCATCAACACTGATTCTAGTGAGATTAAGTAGGATACAACTTCAGAATAAGATGTGCTCAGGGAGGTAGAGGGGAAGAAAGTGGTGAGGAAGAAAAATTTGTAGTATCATGATTTCTGCTTCTTTTGGATGTCTGCTGACCACCTGGATTGAGCTCTGTGGATGGTGCAGGACGTTTCGGGAGCTTGACCAGTGGTATATCTACAGACGATGTTTCATCTTGTGGATCAGCATGAGATGCATGGCTTTGCGTGTCGACTTCCAAGTCTTCCTCGTGTGCGCGAATAGATGCATGATGTGAATCCAAAGTGTTCTTCAATTCGGTCCGGATTTGCTGTTGAAGCTTGGTGACGATGGCTTGAGTTCCTTTGTCAAATTTGACACTCGGGGAGACTTGGCCTTTATAGTTGAGTGATTTGGTATCCCTACGACAAACTTCGCTTAAGATGTCTTGAAGGGCAAACCGGGAAATGTTAATTTCGGTCACCTGTTTAGCCCAGAACCTGGGTGCATACTCCCAATCCACCTTATCTGCATCTCGTATATGCATCCCGCCTTGTATTAAGAGCCATCGGACAAAGCTGTCGGTGGTATACCAAGGGGTGTCTTCTGCTGGCCTTTCCTTGTTGTGGCCCTTTGGATAAAGCCATTCGTTCTTTGCGTGGGCTAGCTGGACAAGGGCCCAGACGTCCTTCTGGTTGAAGTTATGGCTATCAGTGAGGCAGTGCCACCACCCCGCAGTTCCGTACAAGAAGAAAATCGCCATCGACCCAAAAGCAGCTAGACGAATTTTGCCCCATTCTTTCATATCTTCCTGGGACTTGGTGTTCTCGACGTCTCCGTCCTTGAAGAGGTTTCGACCACCTGATTTCCTCAGCGATTCCTCAATTGAGCCGTCTGACCCGCCATTTGAACCGCCAGGATGCTTGGGATCTGAAACAAACTTTGACTGTTGCATCATTAAGCAACACAAAAGGGTATCCCATATTCGCTTCTGAAGTATCATCAGGCCATTGCTTTTTTTCTCGGATCCAGTATCTCCAGAAGCCATCATGTCAGCCTTCAGGGCTCGAATTTTACCTATGATAAAATGGCCTGCGAGGTGGAGGGAATCTTGGCTCTTGTTTGAATGATTGCCGGGGGCGAGACTAGTGGGCTTAAGGTAGTGGTGCAGGTGCTCCAACGAGGATACTGATAGTGTGTATAGTTTGCTGATTGCTGTTCCCAGCAGTTTGTCCTTGGTGTATCCGGGTTCGTGACCAGTACGGATCATCATAGAATACAGGGTTTTCCACGAGGTTGCTTTGATGGGGTCCTTTGACTTGTAGGCCTTCTCAATCAAATCCAGTTGCACAACATTGTGTTGGAAAAAGGGGTCGACTGCGTCCACCTGAAGAAGTCTGGGGCCTGAAGCAAGGCAGAGTTTGAGTGGTATGCATATCTTGCGTGGCACAGGAGGAGAAGTTACTCACAACTGGATAATGCAGCTTTGAAGGCATCAGGGTTGTAGATGACCTTGAAGGCAGCAATTGAGTTGACGGAAGGCGAGAATAAATCTGGGCACTCGTAAAATGACCTTGAATGAGTGTCCGGAGTGAACCATTCTACCATGTCGTGAACCAGGTTCATCAGCTGAGGTCCTAGGTCCCACTTTGGATTTCTGGACGCAGTTTTCATCTTCTCGTGTAGCTCTTGCATGTCCTCACATCTGGAAGGTGACCAGACCTGTTGCATGAAGTCTTGGAGAATACAGACAGGTTAGTTAATGAGTAATGTCTAATATCTAATAAATTGGGTGAACATGGACATCACATACTTCCAATTTGGGGTACTTGAATGTAAGTACTGGCTTCTCTTTCCTTTTTCCGCAACTCAGCCCTTTGCTGGTGTGCCTTCTGCTCTTCCTGGGACATATCTTTGACCCCCTTTCTTGTCCTCTTGGCTGACGGGATTGGGGTGACGTTTGGCCTGGGGGTCTTCTTTCTGCTTTTGTCCTTGCACTTGGGTTCCTCCGGTCTATTTGTGGTTGGCTGGACCACTTCTCTGGGGCCAGTGTTGGACGTGGTAAGTCTGGAGCCCTGTGCGGCGCTGGTGTAACTTGAGTGGTCTAGCTCAGGATTATTAATGTTCAAATCATGATCCCCAAAGTGGGAATCATGGACCACTACAGTTTACCAATACAAAGGGAGGAGGAGTTAGCATGGATGTCAAGGCCATGAGTAGGATAAGAATTTCCTGATTACAGAAAAGGACTTACAGCTGTTCTGATTTGATTGCAGTGATTGATTGCCCACCCTTTCAGGAGATTTGACTGATTTTTCTAGATATAATACAAGCAGTGGGTCATGAAGAGAAGGCAACATTCAGCTGCTTCCTCAAGTTTAGCAATTAAGATATAACATAGGGGAGATGGGATGCGTACCTATGTCAGCCTTTTTATTGCCAGCTGGGCCACTACCAATGGGAATTGAGGAAGAGGTTTCATCTTCATCAACCCCGGTGATATCAATAAATTCTACTGTAGCATCCGAGATACCGTCCACCTCAGACACTTCTATTATCCTGTCAAGCCTTGAACAGAAAGCTGTAACAAGAGCCAAGTTTTGATGTTGTTTATTGGAAAGCTGGGGTGACTTTGATATGAGACCAAGGGTGACCAAATCCTCCAGTCCACTCCTGAGGCTATCCCTTGTGCGGTACCCTATGTACCCAAAATTAAAACACAACATCAGGATAGTTAATGGATATGGGAAATACTACTTCTGAAAGATATGAAAAGGGTGTGAGGAGACTCACATATGGTACGCATTGCTTTCATTTCAGCCAAAGTGACTGTAGTGAGATTGGGTAACCCCAAGCTATTGGCGCCAGCTGTCCCACCTGAGAATGTCCTAGGTAATAAGGCCCTGCTGGCCTGTGCAGACCGGAGGTTGGGAATGTTGGGTGTTGAAACAGGAGGAGGCGACCCTTGATTCAAGGAGGGCAAATGAGCCGGGATTGAGGTGGTTGGTGAGCTGATGGGCACATTTAATGCAGGCGAACGGGGTGGGCTTGATCCATAAGGTACCTGGGCAGTAAGGAAAACCTTCATGAGTACTTTATAGAGGGATAGCTGGGGAGGTGTGCTTACTAGGCTATTGAGGTGTGGGTTCACCTTTGAAGTAGAGGTTTTGAGGATAAGATGAATTGAAATGGTGGTATTCAGTGTTGGGGTTGTCAAGAATATGTAAACATAGAACTCAACAAACTTGTAAATGTTCCCCAGCATTACCCATGTCTGATCCCTCATCTATCTCAAGGGGATCCATCTGGGATAACTGAAAAGGGGACAATCAATTTCTCCAGATATCAAGGGGTTTCAAGTCTTATGTTGGGTGACAGTTAAGTGGAAGTTGGAACTACTGAAATGATATTGTAGTTGGAGTGAGTAGTGAATTTCTATAGGTCCCAACCCTGTTCCTACCCACAACAGAATAAGGAGGCTAGAGGTACTCACAAAGTCCAGTGGATTAGCAAGTGTTTGCTTACTAGGTGTTCAAGTAATTGGATGAGGCCTGGATTATTTATCACCAAACTCATGAGATTCAATCAAAAAGAGGGCGTTGAGCAGAACTTGACAACATGTAACAGTTTGCTTACCTTTTAACAATATGTACTAGATCTAATCCAATTGGAACAAAGAAGTTTAAAGTGTGGGTAGGAGTGATTGAGGTGGAGGCTAAAGCAGAGGGTCACCTATTCTGTGTTTTATAATAGATGTGAAGTAAGAATCTTAGTTCAGTATTGTTGAGTGTGTCTTATGTGGGCTAGAGGTACTCGCCAAGTCCAGTGGATTAGCGAGTGTTTACTTACTAGTTGTTCAAGTAATTGGATGAGGCCTGGATTATTTATCACCAAACCCATGAGATTCAATCAAAAAGAGGGCGTTGACCAGAACTTAACAACATGTAACAGTTTGCTTACCTTTTAACAATCTGTACCAGATCCAATCCAATTGGAACAAAGAAGTTTAAAGTGTGGGTAGGAGTGATTGAGGTGGAGGCTAAAGCAGAATGTTGACTGTCCTGTGTTTCATAATAGATGTGAAGTAAGAATCTTAGTTCAGTATTGTTGAGTGTGTCTTATGTGGGCTAGAGGTACTCGCCAAGTCCAGTGGATTAGCGAGTGTTTACTTACTAGTTGTTCAAGTAATTGGATGAGGCCTGGATTATTTATCACCAAACCCGTGAGATTCAATCAAAAAGAGGGCGTTGACCAGAACTTAACAACATGTAACAGTTTGCTTACCTTTTAACAATCTGTACCAGATCCAATCCAATTGGAACAAAGAAGTTTAAAGTGTGGGTAGGAGTGATTGAGGTGGAGGCTAAAGCAGAATGTTGCCTGTCCTGTGTTTCATAATAGATGTGAAGTAAGAATCTTAGTTCAGTATTGTTGAGTGTGTCTTATGTGGGCTAGAGGTACTCGCCAAGTCCAGTGGATTAGCGAGTGTTTACTTACTAGTTGTTCAAGTAATTGGATGAGGCCTGGATTATTTATCACCAAACCCGTGAGATTCAATCAAAAAGAGGGCGTTGACCAGAACTTGACAACATGTAACAGTTTGCTTACCTTTTAACAATATGTACTAGATCTAATCCAATTGGAACAAAGAAGTTTAAAGTGTGGGTAGGTGTGATTGAGGTGGAGGCTAAAGCAGAGGGTCGCCTATCCTGTGTTTTATAATAGATGTGAAGTAAGAATCTTAGTTCAGTATTGTTGAGTGTGTCTTATGTGGGCTAGAGGTACTCGCCAAGTCCAGTGGATTAGCAAGTGTTTACTTACTAGTTGTTCAAGTAATTGGATGAGGCCTGGATTATTTATCACCAAACTCATGAGATTCAATCAAAAAGAGGGCGTTGAGCAGAACTTGACAACATGTAACAGTTTGCTTACCTTTTAACAATATGTACTAGATCTAATCCAATTGGAACAAAGAAGTTTAAAGTGTGGGTAGGAGTGATTGAGGTGGAGGCTAAAGCAGAGGGTCGCCTATCCTGTGTTTTATAATAGATGTGAAGTAAGAATCTTAGTTCAGTATTGTTAAGTGTGTCTTATGTAGGCTAGAGGTACTCACCAATTCCAGTGGATTAGCAAGTGTTTACTTACTAGTTGTTCAAGTAATTGGATGAGGCCTGGACTATTTATCACCAAACCCATGAGATTCAATCAAAAAGAGTGTGTTGAGCAGAACTTAACAAGATGCAACAGTTTGCTTACCTTTTAACAATCTGTACTAGATCCAATCCAATTGGAACAAAGAAGTTTAAAGTGTGGGTAGGAGTGATTGAGGTGGAGGCTAAAGCAGAGGGTTGCCTATGCTGTGTTTTATAATAGATGTGAAGTAAGAATCTTAGTTCAGTATTGTTAAGTGTCTAACTTGCAAACCAAACAATAATCAGATGAAGAGGAGGTTCACCTTACGACTGGTTGGGGCCAGATGGCTGGTGTGCAGGGTCCCTGTTCCTTGGTCTGAGGTACAATGAGTTGTGATGAGTGGGGTGGGTGCTTGAGGTGTTGCTGGATTAGCGGAGTTCTGTCATGGCCTTACTTGGGTTGGTCGGGTTTGCTAAGGGTTGGGGTTTCAGTGGGTGGGGTTCAGGGGTTTGAATGGGGTGCATATTATTTCTTGTTAGTAGAAGTGTACAGCAAGCATATCAAAAATACAAGTCGG